GCCTCGAACTCAGAGATTCCCCCACTTCTGCTTCCTGAGTGCTGGGTCTAAAGTCATGCACCACTATGCTGGGTAGGTCTTTACTTTTTATTTATCCTATTGAGACAGAGTTGCCTTATGTTGCCCAGGCTGGCCTTGAACTCCTGGGCTCAAACAGTCCTCCTGCCTCAGCCTCCAGAATAGCTGGGATGGCAGGCCTGCCACCTTGCCCCACGGATTAGGGAATTTGGGGGTTTGTCTGAACTGGAAGGAGAGGCCAGTTTCACACCATCACATTAAGATTACATACTTCATCACAGTACAGAGTGAAATACACATTGTGCAGTTTCCAAAGACCTCCATGCCCACCGTTTGACCCAACCCTAACAACCTTGCTCCCTAACACTGAGGCCCAGAGAGCAAAGAGGCTTGTCCAAGGCCAGATGGTGAGCTGGGTAGCACCAGGTTCCCATCCTGCTCATGTGCCAGCGCACCAGACTCAGGAGCTCACTGAGAGCCGAGCCTCCATCCTCCATCAGTCAGGCCCTATGCACTCAAGACCCAGGCTGGCTCTCCATTTTTTTGTTAGGTATGGGTCTCTGCACATCACAGGAAGGGGCGCGTTGAGGCACTGTGAGCCAGTATTTACCGAAGGAAGGCCTGCCCTGACTTTAAAAAACGCACAGGGCTATCAGGTCGATCCCAGTCCTCGGGGGAGACCTTGATCTGGAGGAGGTGGGAATAGGGAGTGGGCTGGGGGGAAGGGGAGGGGGGCAGGAAGGGAGAGAACAAGGGAATCTGTGGCTATTATGTAGAACTGAATAGTATTGTAAAATAAAAAAAAAATAAAATATAAAAAATAAAAATAAAGCTTTTGTGTATTAAGAAAAAAACAAAACAAAACAAAAAAACCAAAAACCAAAAAAAAAAAAAAACGCACAGGGATGTGCCCACACCTGGATGGAGATTTGACTATAGGAAGAGGCTCTTTTGACAATAGACATCTAGACAAACCAAGACAGGAGATTTCCCGAGGTCATGGGGTGAGACCTTGATAAGCCAGAGACCCCAGCTTGGGGAGCAGCTCCCTCAAGCAGATCTGGGCTACAGTGAGGGATGAGTGATGTGTGTTGAGAGCTCTTGCTGGGACACTCATCCCAGTCTCTTGCAGCTATCACCAGCCTGAAGCCTGCCTGCACTTTGGGGAAGTGGATAAACTCAGCAGGAGTTTGCAGCCCCATTGCCGAGCCTAGGATCTGCGGGCCTCCTATTTCAGACTGTACTGTGACCACAGGAAGTCCTGGGATGCGATCGGGAGTGACTCCTCCTGCAGCCGAGGCTTGCATAAGACTGGCGGAGGCGGGTGAGTCCCTGGTGTCCAGAGCCGCCCTCCGCGCTTGGGGCGTGGCCGCCGCCGCTTTATCTGTGACTCCGCGGCGGGGACGCAGCAGACAGCTCTCGGCTCTGCTCTGGCCACAGGTGAGGCTGCGCCTGGAGATCCCGGGGCTGGGCTGGGTGTAGAGGTCCTCCGGCGGGGGGCGCAGGGTTGGGGGTGTGCTCCTAGCTCCGCACGTGCGCGGTGCCCAGTGGCGGAAGTGGGCAGGTGGCGGAAGAGGGGGCGAGGCTGAGAACGGCAGGACCCTGACAGTCATGTAGGGGAGCACCTCCCGGGAGGGGTTCGGGAGAGACCGCCAGGGGAATCAGCAGCAAGGAGGGGACAGGAAAAAGCGGAGTCAGTCCGAGGTAACCCCCCGCGAGGTGAGAGGAACATTGTAGCTGGGGTGGGGGGAGGCGGGGGCAGAGAGCAGAAGGTTATGGGGGGGGGGACCAGAGGCAGCGTGTCAGGGAGGGAAGGGGGGCCAGGACTGGAGCATGGGCCTACGAGCTGGTGGGATGGAGGGAATACTTCAGAACAGTCTGCAGAAGGTAGACAGGGGAGCGGGCCTGCAAGATCACACCCAAGGAACAGCCGCACAGGCTGTGTGCACCCTAGGAGCAAGGAGATAATGGGGCAAGAAAGGGCAGGAGTGGGCGTGGGTGTGGGATGCAGATCCTGTGGGGGAACCCTGAGGAAAGCTCTAGGGAGGTGGGAGGGCCACCAGGCCAGAATGTTGGACCCCTCCCTTAATGGCAGGGAAGCCAGATTGCTCTAGGGAGGAAAAGGGAGAAGACCCCACCACCCACAGCACTAACCTGGGGGACTTTCCCCTGGCAACCCCTGCAGACTCCAAGCCTGCTTCAGGCCCTGTGTCCCAACAGGTCTCCAGGCTGGCCTGGACTTGTTGGACATCCGAGGATGCTTTGTTGAAGCTCCTGTCAGGAGGACTGTGTGCCTCAGCCCCACCCCCCACCCCCATGCCTTAGGGTTCTCTTTCCAGCCTCAGGCCCTGTCCCACGGCTGTGTCCTGTATTGGGCGGCTGGAGCTAGCTGGCCCAACCTCTCTGGGCTGTTTCTCCCTTCCAGGGTACTCTTCTTGGAGCAGTGGGGTGTCTGAGCTCCAGGGAAGAATTTTCTTAAAAATTGCTCTTTCCATTCTGATCACATTCCCGAGTACAAATGGAGGCCCTCAGTGCAGTTACAGACAGTTTCTGTTCCACCCTGGAAGACATGGAGGGGGCCTTTTCTTTAAACTGGTTGAGCTGAATGGGAGAATTGGTTTGCAGAGAGGGAGGTGACCTGGTTGCTGAGAGACCTGAAGGCCTGCCAGAGCTTGTCCAATCTACATTCACTCCCTGGGTGCCCAGAAATTGCCTGGAGCTCCGTTTCTGGAGTTAGACAGACTTGGGTGTTTTCTTGCCTGTGGGCCTGGATCAGCAGATGGACCAATGAACAAGCATTTGGGGTCCTCCATGGCTTATCTTCCCCTCAGGACCTCTCTGGAGGTTTTGCCTCCCACAGTCCCAATGTTAACTCTGGCTAGACTTTTTATTGCTAGTCTTTATCTTTTGTAGATAGGAGTCTTGCTGTTTTTCCCACATGGGCCTTGAACTTCTGGGTTCAAATGATTTCCCCTTCTGCTTCCAAGTAACTATTAAATTAAATTAAATTATTTTTGAGGCAGGGTCTTAGTCTATAGGCCAAGCTGGCTTGGAACTCTCAGTATGCCTGTCTCAGCCTTCCAATTGCTAGGGGTTTTATTTATTGGTTTATTTCGAGACAGGGTTTCTCTGTGTAGCCCTGGTTTTGCTGGAACTTGCTCTGTATACCAGGTTGGCCTCAAACTCAGAGATCCACTGCCTCTGCCTCCCGAGTGATGGGATTAAAGGCGTGCTCCACCATGCCCAACTGGGTTATTTATTTATTTTTAACAGGTTCATAGAAATATGAAAAATTAGGTATGCATGGTGGTGCACACCTGTAATCCCAGCACTCGGGAGGCAGAGGCAGGGGAATCATGACTTGAAGGCCAGTCTGAGCGACATGGTGAGATCCTGTCTGAAAAGGACACAGAGGGATGAGCCAGTAGAGAGCTTGCTGGGTAAGCATGAGGATCTGAGTTCGGATCTCCAGCACCCACATGAAAAGCCAGGGCTGGTGGGGTGGGGTGGGGCTTAGGGGCTCACTGGCCAGTCAGTCTAGCCCAGCTGGAGAGCTCCAGGTTCAGCAAGAGACCCTGCCTCAAAATAAGGCAGAGCGTGATAGAGGAAGACAGCTCACAGAACTTTGGCCTCCACACAGACCCACACGTGGGCGTTCACACACAAGTGTGTGCATACACATGTACACACTCACACAAAGAAAGACAAAAGGAAGAGTCAAGGGAAGAAGAAAGACAGGAGGAAGGAAGAAGATGGCATTTGTACACCGTGTAATTTCTGAATCCCGGCTTTATTCTCTTTATCTATTGAGGCCAACCTTTGCTCCCCATGGCGAGATAAAACAGACTTAAAGAGAATATGCTGAGCAGTCAGGTCCACAAAGCAGCAGTGGATGCTTTGAATGCTAAGGAGGTGAAGAAGGGCAGGGGTGACTAAGCCTGCTGACCCTGGTTCCTCCTTTAGTGAGGCCTGATGCACCTGAGGGCTAGGGAATAACCATGCTAACGTGCTGGCTCTAATCACTGTCAAAGCGCTAGTTCCTGGGGCATAGCACGCCTAAAATAAAATAACCGCTGATGGATGGAAACGGAGGCCGAGTTTTTCTGTCCTGACCGCCTGGTCCCAAATAAACACACAAAGGCTATGAATTATAAATGCCCAGCCAATAGCTCAGGCTTATTATTGACTAGCTCTTTCTTTTTAAAAAATTTTTTAATTACACTCATGATATTCATTAATTAGACTCATGATATTAATTACATTTGTGGTATTCATTGATTACATTCACAGTATTCATTAATTACATTAATTGTATTGATTTATTACATTCATGATATTATGTCCTGATACTACTGTCCATTTGTGGGGCTTTTCCATCACACAAAACAGAGATTCTGTACTTAGGAAATCATTGCTCTATATTCCTTTCTTCCCCATCTCGAGATAACATCTAATCTTTCTGTCTCTATGAATTTGTATATTCTATATATTTCATGTAATACAATTCTATAGTATTTTCCCTTTTTTGAATGTAAAAACATTTTATGTACAACTGTAGGAGAAATAATACACAGATAACTTAAACATAAAAACAGGTTATAACTTAAAAGTCCAGGGTTATTTTAAAAAGTAAAATATTTTCTCTGTAGAAAATAGTATAAATGATAACATTTCCCAAAAAACCCTTTTAAGCCAAATAATAGCTGAATTATACATATAAATATTGATTGGATTCTGGGATACAGAAGAAACCTATCTTCATCTGTTCAAAGAGCTATATTTTACTTAAGTTGTGGAAGTGTAGCTCTTACTTTTAAATAACCCATTTCTGTTGATCTATGTATTGCCATGTGGTCTGTGGCTTTACGAGTCCTCTGGCATCTTGCTTCTTGGGTGGCTCCCTGGTGTCTCTCTCTCAACTCCACCCTTCCTCATCCCAGTCTTCAGTTTGATTGTCCCGCCTAACTTTATCCTGCCTTGCTATTGGCCAAACAGCTTTATTATTAACCAATGAGAGTAACACAAATTCACAGCATACAGAAAGATCATCCCGCAGCAGATGGACTGTTACAGGGCTTCGGGTCACTTTGAAGTAAGTGAATTCATTTTTTTTTCCTGTAACAAAAAAGGACCCAAAGTGGAAGGAGCTTGTCCAAGCCACTCAGGGCTTATGTGGCTGAGCACGGAGATCCCAACAAAAATAATGAGCATTAAGCAGTGACAGTTTTTACGAGAGCCCAGTGGTAGCTCTTTTTAGCCTCTGAGGAAACCAGCTCAGAGAGGCTAAGGAATTCTCACAAAGTTACCAGGCTAGTAAGTTCTGGACCTCAGATTCCATGCCCACACAAAACCAGGACTTTTGGCTCCCCCAGAGTTGGGCAGTAGTCACCCACCCTTTCAGGCAGTGTCTTCTTCACGGTGGCCTTTTGCCTGACTTCCCTCCATAGGCATCTGTGTAGGTGAAACAGTAGAACAGGAATCCCATCATCCCCGGTGTCCCCTGCTCTGTGGGGACGGCCTGGTGGGTTCAAGTTAGGAAACACTGGGTGACGCCTGAGCATGGAGGGAGGGTGGTCAGGGCTCACTGTCTCCACAGCCCGCTTTCTCCTGATGACCCACAGCCAGCCGGAAGGGAGGGTGGTCAGGGCTCACTGTCTCCACAGCCTGCTTTCTCCTGATGACCCACAGCCAGCCGGGTACCAGCCAGTAGGTATGAGAACTCCAGGAGGAACTGGAGTTGGCAAGGCTTGGAAGAGAAGGTGAAGAGGTGACCTGGGATTTAGGAAAAGGGAGTATGAGTTAGGAGGCTTGGAGAAGGGGGATGGGAGGGCCAGAATTCCCACTTCCTCTTGGCAGCCAATGCCCTGCCCTGGCTAGGCCAGGGCATCTATCTATCTTTTTTTTTTGAATTGATTTACATTTATGTGTATTTCTACATGTGGTTTGTGCATATGAAAGTGCAGATGCCAACAGAGTTAGAGGCATCAGATCCCCTAGAGCTGGAATTACAGGCAGTTCTGAGCCTGTTGGGTACAGGAGACTGAACTCAGATCCTCTGGGAGAGCATCACAGACTCTTAGCTAAGGCATCCCTCCAGCCCAAGACCATCTATCTTTTGGCCCACCTGCTTACACAATTTACTCTCTGGTGTCCTCTAGCTCTGTGACAGAACAGCTGGGGTTAAGACTCCTCCTTTGGGGAAGTCACTTCTCAGCCACCTTTCCTGGGTCTATGGGCAAGTGCCAGTTTTCAGCGATCCTGGAATCCAGAAGGGCGTTACCCTGAATGTTCCTTGCTGAGAACAATTTAATTATTAAATAGTTCCGTGTCCTCAGGGGTCCATACTCTAGTTTTCCTGGTCCTTAATATGTCCCCAAGGATCAGGTAAATGTTTCAGGAGACAGTTAACCCCCCCCCCTCCCCAAGACGGTCTCATGTAGCCCAGGCTGGCTTTGTACTTGCTCTATATAGCCAAGGATGACCTCTCAACTTCTGACCCTCCTGATCCTCCCAAGTGCTGAAATTATAGGTGGGCACCATGACACCAGGCTAGGATACAGTTAACTTTCTGTCCATCCATCCATCCCTGTATTCGCCCCTCCCCCCCAATCCACTGACTCAGATTAAAGGTTTTTGTTTTTGTTGTGCTGGGGTGGAACCTTGGGCCTTGTGCCCGCCAGGCCACACTCTCATTCCAAGGGCAGATTTTTAAAGAACCCGTCAAGCTAATCTCAGGCTGGGGTTTCTCTAACCACTCTACTAGTATTCATAAAAATGGCAGCTGTGAGTCCCTAACTAGTGTTCAAACTTAGTTCCAGTTCTTTAAGTCTCTGCTGCAGTCTACAAGGTGTGTAATTCTGTCATTCCCACAGGGGAGCCAAGAACCAGTCAGTGGCCCAAGGTCGCGGAGCTTCTGTTCTGTGGGTCTAGTGTCACATTTGATTGTTCCTGAAGCCCACCTCCCAATAAGCCTTTCTAAGGAAGTAGCCGCTTACTCCCACCCCCAAGACCGGGTTTCTCTGTGTAGCCCTGGCTGTCCTGAACTTGCTGTGTAGACCAGGCTGGCCTGGAACTCAGAAAATCTGCCTGCCTCCATCTCCAGAGGGCTGGGATCAAAGGCGTGCGCCACCCTTAAGGGCTCCCTCACCCTGTTGTTCCTAACTCCCCTTTGATTCCCACTGAATAAGGGATAGGTACCCGCCAAGTGTATCTGACCCCCATCTCCACTTGGTACCAGCTGGCTTGGCTCTTCCTTTGTTGGATGATCTTGGGTACATCACAGCTTTCCAGACAGCGATATCCTCTGCCACAGAGGTGTTATTTGTGGCTGAGCCTGGTTTTTACTAGTGTGGGGGTCAGAAACAAAGGAAGGCATCTTCAGCCCCGCCCTCCTGTGACATCACACAAGACACTTCCAGGCCCTTGGAAACCCCACCCCTAGTGTCCCTCACCTGTGCCACTTGGCCCTCGGCATCTGGTGACTTTCTGCAGCTCCACAGCGGATGTCATTGACCTCAAGCTCCAGAGAAACACCCCCAGGTACCCAGTGCAATCTGAGAGGCCTAGTGGGTGGGGGTGCTGTGGCAGTGTGCCGGGCTGGCTGTCCGGGACAGGCAAGGCCTGGCTGCCTGATTGGCAGATCACTCTGGATGCCCGCTGATCTCTTGATTACCCCTTTCCTTCTGGCTCAGGCTTGACCTCTGACCTTGCTCCCTGCTTTCCTCTGGGTTTGAGGTCTCTATAGATTCAGAGGATAGGACCTAATTCTGAAAATAGATCTATCTGCCAGTAGTCTAATGGAAATCAAGCCATGGGACCTCTATCCCCCTAGAATGCTGCCTCTGGGTTCTGTGTTTAGGACCCATCATGTCTAGGTGCATGGGGGTTGTGTGCTGGTATTGTCTGCCTCCTGAGGTGTGGCTGCAAGCCAGGGCTTCCCTGGTGCAGATCAAGAGGCTAGAACTGAGGGAGACTAGAGGCCTGAGGAAATAAATTTACACAAGCCTGGACTGCCTGCTTCAGATCGGTATTTAGCGGTGGTGTTCCAGAGGAGCAGGAGGGGGTCACAGGAGGCAGGCCAGCAGTAGAGAAAGAAGTTGGTAAGTGTCCAGGTTTGCAGGCAGAGAACTGGGTCCCCACATACATGCATTCTTCCCCTCCCTGTCTTCCCTTGAGTAAGAATCTCTTCATCTCTCAGACTGTACCATCTGAAAAACACAATGGGCGGACTAGGACTTACCGCCCAGGGAAGTTACAAGAATTGATTATGCTGGGTGGCACTCGAGAGGCAGGCAGGAGCTCTGTGAGTTTGGGGCTGGCCCGATCTACAGAGCGAGTTCCGGGACAGCCAGGGGTACACAGTGAAATCCTGTCTCAAAGAACAGGAAAAAAAAAAAAGAATTATTACGATAAGCACAGAGTGAACAGCTGTTTGATTTTAACTTGTACTCACGATTGGGAAAGGAAGGGTAAGTCCTGTAAACTTGGCACACATAGGTTCAACAAAGCTCAGTACACTTTGCCATAGAACTTCTCGGAGCGTCTGGTGTGTTCTCATGCCTCGGGAAGTCCCAGGAGTGGGGAGATGGAGCCTGGGAGTGGACTTAAGAGATCACAGGGACCCAGTAACTAGGTGTGCAAGACTTTATCCAGCCTCACTGTTCCCATGGCAGAACGGAAGCCTTGCATGCTGGCTATGTCTAGGAGGGAATGCCCAGGTCGAGTTTCCTCGTGAGCCACACAAATGTGTCCTGAAGCCTCGTCTGCCCCTGCAGACAAAATCGTGGACATGAACAGAGGCCAAATTGTTAGGGCTGAAGTCCAGTCTCTTGGGAAGAGGAAGAAGCCCTGGGTGGAAATTAATAGTCCTTGTTAGTAGTCCATCTAAAGGACCCGCTTCCTGAGTCTGCCCTGAGTCAGGCTCTCTGGGGTGAAGGAAGCAGAACAGCATGGTGCTTCCTGTGCTAAGGAGCCCCCCGTGGGTAGTGGGGGGAGACTGATCGAACTCTTGTTTGTTTGTTTGTTTGTTTTTCAAAACAGCGCTTCTTTATGTAGCCTTGGCTGTTCTGAAACTCTCTCTGTAGACCAGGCTGACCTCAAACTCACAGAGATCTGCCTGCCTCTGCCTCCTGATGCTGGCTGGAACTCTTGAAGAAGCCTAGAGAGTGGGAGGTTGGGGGCGGGGGAGAACAGGCGTGGGGCAGGTCCCGATGCCGCCTCTGTAAGCGCTTGAATTGTGCATGCATCCTTGGTGTGGTCTGGGGTAGTGGCAGAGAGGCTGTGAGAACATAGCACTGGTGCATACAATGGCTGGGACAAAGGTGGCCCTGTCACAGCTGATGATCCGTGGACAGGACACCTGTGCGTGCTGAGTCCGGAAAGCTTGTTGAGGGAGTCATCTGGCAGATACCAAGAGTTGCTTGAGTTAATGAATGATGATGTCTTCGTCAGGGTTACCATTGCTGTGACGGGACTTGTGGGGGAAGGGGTTTATTTGGCTTGTGCTTCCACATCACACATCATAGTTCATCCTCAAAGGAAGTCAGGACAGGAACTCACACGGGGCAGGAACCTGGAGGCAGGAGCTGATGCAGAGGCCATGGAGGAGTGCTGCTCGCTGGCTTGCTCCTCCTGGCTTGTCCAGCCTGCTTTCTTACAGACCCCAGGACCACCAGTTCAGGGATGGCACCACCCACAATGGGCTGGGTCCTCCCCCATTGATCACTACTTAAGAAAATGCCCTCTAGGCTTGTCTGCAGCCTGATCTTATAGGGGCATTTTCTCAACTGAGGCTCCCTCTTCTCTGATGACTCTAGCTTGTGTCAAGTTGACGTAAAACCAACCAGCACAAATGATAAGCCCACATTAAGCAGCGGGTGCCAGGCAGTTGTGCTGTGTTTATTAAATGATTGACAAATAGCCCGATACCATGTCTTAAATATTAGTCATTTTCTCTGTGACAAAATCCTTGACAAAAGTAACCAGAGTGAGGAAGGGCTTGTTGTGGCTCACATTCTGAGGATGCAGTCCATCACGGTCTATGGAGGTCCAGCTGGCATGGCGGCAGGTGCTTCAGGCGTCTACGGTCAGGAGACAGAAAGAAAGGGATGCTGGTATTCAGTGTGTTAGTGTGTTTTCTTTCTTTCTTTCTTTCTTTCTTTCTTTCTTTCTTTCTTTCTTTCTTTCTTTCTTTCTTTCTTTCTTTCCTTCC